GTTTACGTGTGAGTGAAGGATTCTGGGAGTTGTAGTCTCATTGGCCACGAAAAAGGCGGCGTCTTAGCAACCCTTCAAAATAAAGGTCGCCATAAAAAAACACAGTAAACACGTTAAAAGTATTAAAAATAGTGCTGTCAAACGATTAATCGCATCCAAAATAAAAGTGTTTGTTTACATAATGTGTGTGTACTGTGTATATATTTTTTGTATATATAAACACACTATATTAATTATGTATAAATACTCACGCATGTATGTATTTAAGAAAAATATGTTATGCTTATATATTAAATATGTTTATATATACTATCAATTTTATTAATATAAATATATACATGTAAATATTTTCAAAATATACTGTATGAGCGTGTGTCTGTATATACATAATAAATATGCACAGTACAAACATATATTATGCAAACAAAATGTTTTATTTTGGATGCAATTAATCGAGATTAATGTTGGACAGCACTAATTTTAAAAACTAAACATACACACAAAAATAAACACATTAAACGTTAGAAAAAAATGTTTTTTGTTGTACTGCCTTAGAAATTGGCTGTTGCAGCCATGGGTGCACCTATAAAAAGACATGCTCATTAAACACAAAAACACATTTCAACTAAGTACAAATTTTGCGATATTTTTTTTTTAAATAATTTTATTATTCAGTCAAGTGCAGTCGCTCAGTTGTTAGCGCTCTGTAATATAAATATATATATTTTAATAGTTTAACTAAACGTTTATTTTGAAATGTCGTTTTTAAATATCGTGTACGTACTGTCCCTTCGTGCTTTCCGTATGTTTGTTTCGAGACGATTGTCACGTGAATCCAGGGACTGCCAAAACGTTTGGAGAAAATTGACTTTATCAAATGAACATTTTATTTTCGTTTACAATAAAAAGCCAAAATGCTCTCCCGTTTATTAAAAGAACACCAAGCGAAACAAAACGAAAGGAAAGAGTTACAAGGTTTGTGTTTCTGTAGATCTCTAGCGACTAGCTCTGACAGGCCCTTTGATATAAAGATAAAGACGCATCTTCAGATTTCTCTGCTAAATGTATTTAAGATAAGATGGAGTTGATATATTATTATAAGCAATAAAATTCGTTATTCATTTTCATTCGAGTCGCAGATTCTGTTTTTAGTAGGCTAATTTCCTTAATTTAGTCACTGACATTGCTTGTGTTTTATGTAAGACTACAGAAATAAGTAAATTATTCTTACAATTAATTAATTTAATTAACTAAACGAATAAATTATTATCAAGCAAAGACTGAAAAATGGTGTACATACGTAATATATGTATTTCATTACTTGAAATTTTCTGTCAACCACCCAAAACAAAACAAAACAAAATCAAGTGATATGAAATAATAGCTTTTTCTTGATAAAATGCTTCAATACGGTACAGAAAGACGAAGACGAGAGGCCACAGCAGCTGCAACATGTTTAACAGAAGCCCTGGTGGATCATCTCAATGTAGGGTGAGTCGGATAGTTTTATATGTTTGTAAAGGTGCACACAGGATTATATGGTCAGTTCATGTGATCACTCTGGTCATAATCCCAGTCTTTGTGTGAACATTATTATGAAATTCTGTGAAAGCAGCTTAGAGTTGCATGGTTGGATGCAACAGAGAATTGTTCTTGCAACAGACACATTTATGCAAACAGAATAGTTCACCCAAAAATAAACATTTGCTGAACATCTCACCCTCAGGTCGTCCGAGATGTAGAGGAGTTTGTTTCTTCATCAGAACAGATTTGGAGAAATGTATCACTTGCTCACCAATGGATGCTCTGCAGTGAATGGGTGCCGTCAGAATGAGAGTCCAAACAGCTGATAAAAACATCACAATAATCCACTCCAGTCAGTCAATTAACATCTTGTGAAGTGAAAAGCTGTGCATTTGTAAGAATTTATTTTGTTTTGAATTAACACATTTTTAGCTTTAAACCATTGCTTCTGGCCAAAATACTAGTCCTCTATCCATAATATTGCTTTCTCCAGTGATAAAGTCGTCTGGTCTGAATCAGGAGAGAAATCTGCACAGATCAAGCACCGTTTACGAGCAAAAACAGTTCTAAACAAATATGTCAGTGGATGTGAGAGGACAACAGGAGGTGAGATTTTTCAGTGGAGAAAGCAATATTATGGATTATCGTATTTTGGCAAGAAGCAATGGTTTGAAGTCAAAGCATCTAAATGATATTTTTGTTTCTTAGAACCACACAGCTTTTCACAATATATTAATTGATGGACTGATGTTGTGTTGATTACTTGTGGATTATTGTGATGTTTTTATCAGCTGTTTGGACTCTCGTTCTGACGGCACCCATTCACTGCAGAGGATCCACTGGTGAGCAAGTGATGTAATGCTACATTTCTCCAAATCTGATGACGAAACAATCTCATCTATATTTTGGATGGCCTGAGGGTGAGTACATTTTGAGATTTTCATTTTGGGTGAACTATTCCTTTAAGACATTGTAATGTATAAGTATCTCGGTTCAGGGTGGCGCAGGCGTACATCAACCAGCGCAAGCTGGACAATGAGGTGAAGACGCTGCAGGTTCAGGCCAGTCAGTTTGCCAAGCAGACGGCCCAGTGGATCAATATGGTTGAGAACTTCAACCAGGCCTTAAAAGTACGCAATCTCTTTTATATATTGACTCATGTGCGAATTTAGTGTTGCAATTGGTGAACTGTGCAGATTTAATGGCAGATTATTCCTGTACAGGAAATCGGAGACGTGGAGAACTGGGCGCGGAGTATCGAGATGGACATGCGGACGATCTCGACAGCTCTGGAGTATATGCACAAAGGCCCGGTTCAGCCCACGTCCTCATGAGTGGATGGATTCTGATGCTCCAAAATGGACAGAAACGCAGAGGCTTTTCCTCCAAATGTTGGTGAAACTTGGACACTGTTACTTATTCCAGTAAAAAATTGCTGGAACAGCTGTTTATTTCTGATTTGGTTCATTTTTATTTTACATAATATGCTTGCATAATAAAACATATCTATAGTGCTATAACTGCTGCGGTGGAGCATTTTACATCACATTTTACCCCCAAAAGTTCCCTTGTTCACCTGCACAGACATACTGTCCTGCTTCTTACTTCATACAAACTGTTTTGACCAACCTCAGAAATGAACATAGTACCAGGATTACACATTTTTCCTGCCCCTTTTTAGCGTTTATAGACGTAACCGTGAGCTAAAATAGATTTTATACGTTTTTGTGGGATTTCACAGTTTGTTAATTTTTACTGAACCCACGTTAAGCTGTGCACGCACTGTGACGCTACATAATCCACATTTACAACAAAGGCTTTCAGCCTCAGGATTAACATGAGACGAGTAATATGTAAAACTAAGAAAATTAAAAGCAAGAGCAGAATATGGCTGGTTTAAATCCAAATTTTACATGTTTGCCCCATGGGGCTGCATAAGATGATTTTTAGCTTGATTTTGCAGTTTTAGGTCTTCAAGACCATTTTTGAAACTCGAGACCTACAAACATGTGAATCCACAAATGGTGTCGCAGATGGATGAGAATCCAATTCAGAATTAAATTCAGTTCCCATTCAGAAAAAACACATGACATCAATTGCTCAAAGATGAATCTAAGAGTGAGAGATGCATACCTGACAGCAGGGAGACACACAGCAGCACATGGAGACAGAGCTCCAGAGACTCGCACACACAGTGTGTAGGGGTTTTCTGGTTACAGAATCCCCAAATGACTATAATGCCACTTCGTTTATATATCCAGACCAGAACAAGGAAATCTTCAAATCAGTTGTAAAAACATAAAAGACCTTTTGGTTGGTCAGGTTCTGTGAGTGTGGCCCAAGGTTCACACCTGGCCGGAGAAGGGAAAATATTCTCACCAGACCCAGAGGGAGACACACCCCTCAGCAGCAGAACAGAATTCTTCAAAAGTTTTCATTATATAAGTGACTGCTGTGAAATTAAGACCATTTTTACCAATTGCACAGAGACCTTTACAATGATACTAAACATGATAAGGGTAAAATCATGCATACTTAAGATATAATAAGCACGATATGTAAGTAGAGTAACTTGATTTCTTGACAACTTTCAGTGGCCCAGGCCATAAGCCCAGGGAAGGAGGGGGCTTAAGGATGGGTGAAGGGATGACAGCAGGGAGACACACAGCAGCACATGGAGACAGAGCTCCAGAGACTCGCACACACAGTGTGTAGGGGTTTTCTGGTTACAGAATCCCCAAATGACTATAATGCCACTTCGTTTATATATCCAGACCAGAACAAGGAAATCTTCAAATCAGTTGTAAAAACATAAAAGACCTTTTGGTTGGTCAGGTTCTGTGAGTGTGGCCCAAGGTTCACACCTGGCCGGAGAAGGGAAAATATTCTCACCAGACCCAGAGGGAGACACACCCCTCAGCAGCAGAACAGAATTCTTCAAAAGTTTTCATTATATAAGTGACTGCTGTGAAATTGAGACCATTTTTACCAATTGCACAGAGACCTTTACAATGATACTAAACATGATAAGGGTAAAATCATGCATACTTAAGATATAATAAGCACGATATGTAAGTAGAGTAACGATTTCTTGACGACTTTCAGTGGCCCAGGCCATAAGCCCAGGGAAGGAGGGGGCTTAAGGATGGGTGAAGGGACAGTTGACCAAATGGTTTAAGACCATTTTTACCAATTGCACAGAGACCTTTACAATGATACTAAACATGATAAGGGTAAAATCATGCATACTTAAGATATAATAAGCACGATATGTAAGTAGAGTAACTTGATTTCTTGACAACTTTCAGTGGCCCAGGCCATAAGCCCAGGGAAGGAGGGGGCTTAAGGATGGGTGAAGGGACAGTTGACCAAATGGTTTTCTTTGAGATCTTATCTTCAGATTAGAAAGTTTATTGTTTTGTTGCATGACATCTGTTTTGTGGGAGCTATCATTTTGGGTCTTACATTACGAAAATGTTAACTAAAATTTAAATTGATAAAAACTATAATCTTTCTGAGAGACAAATTATTTTTATATATTTCTCTTAAAGGTCCCATGACATGCTGCTTTTTAGATGCTTTTATATAGGCCTAAGTGGTCCATAGTACTGTATCTGAAGTCTCTTTCCCGAAATTCAGCCTTGGTGCAGAATTTCAGCCACTACGAGCCAGTCCTACAATGAGCTTTCCTTAGGACGTGCCATTTCTGTGTCTGTAGCTTTAATGCTAATGAGGAGGAGAGAGGCGGGGCAACTGCCATGCTTCGCTCGTTTGCAAGCCATGATGTCTCGAGGAAAAAAAAATATTGCGCTCGTCTCGCACGGTAGTAGCTCATTTAATCATTTGAACAAAAATAGAAATTGTTTAAAACTACTGTAGACAAAAATGTCAACCTCCCAAAAACAAATTCGATCAACCTAAAAATAAAGCGAATTGGCATGTTTCTCCTTAAAAGCTCATCCCAGCCCAGCTATTTGTGGATCACGATTACACAAGCGCACAAAAAAAGGCCTAACAGCAATACAGTGAGATTGGAGATTAGAAATTGTGGCCCTGTCTGACAGAATCAGCTTTAGGGATAAATCTGAGGTGCAGACCCACTTCAGATCACTCACCAAACGCATTCAGGACCTCCAGCTCCAGAGCCAAGAAGGGAAAAGGTAAGTCTGATAATTGTCTACTTTACTTGATAGAAGAATTTCTTATTTTTATCCTCAATGACAAAGTGAATTAATATTTACTTAAATGTGTATGTTTAAATAAGTATATTTAAAAAAAAAAGGGTGTTCTATATTAAATATACGTTTTACTAAACATTTTTACTTGCGAACATGTGAAATTTATTTATTATGAATTATTAATCAGGTTAATCTGAGTAATAATTTGATGTACTATGATTTTTGTTAAAATAAGTGTCTTCAGTTTAGTTTTTTTGGGACTATGGTATGATTGGTTTAGAAGTTTCGGTTATTTTTGGTTAAATTCTTTAGCAATTTTATGTATTGTATGTATACAATTTTATGCAATTAATATCAGAAAGCACATGGATCATTCTTTGATAAAAGCCCTGTTTGTTTGATAATTAATTAGCGTACATTCTTCAAAGCTTAATGTGCATATAGGAGCTTAAATGGTTGGCTTTGTCCTATTGGTTGTGTTGTAGCACAGAGATGAATCCTCAACCTTTCTCTTTACTAATTAGTCCCTGTAGCTAATAGGTTTTGAGCTTTGAGAAGCTTATAGTGTTTCGGTGGTGCTGGATTTTAAATTTTACAGCATTCTCTAAACCTTTACGCTGATACCAAAGTCTCGGGTGTTCTATATTAAATATACGTTTTACTAAACATTTTTACTTGCGAACATGTGAAATTTATTTATTATGAATTATTAATCAGGTTAATCTGAGTAATAATTTGATGTACTATGATTTTTGTTAAAATAAGTGTCTTCAGTTTAGTTTTTTGGGACTATGGTATGATTGGTTTAGAAGTTTCGGTTATTTTTGGTTAAATTCTTTAGCAATTTTATGTATTGTATGTATACAATTTTATGCAATTAATATCAGAAAGCACATGGATCATTCTTTGATAAAAGCCCTGTTTGTTTGATAATTAATTAGCGTACATTCTTCAAAGCTTAATGTGCATATAGGAGCTTAAATGGTTGGCTTTGTCCTATTGGTTGTGTTGTAGCACAGAGATGAATCCTCAACCTTTCTCTTTACTAATTAGTCCCTGTAGCTAATAGGTTTTGAGCTTTGAGAAGCTTATAGTGTTTCGGTGGTGCTGGATTTTAAATTTTACAGCATTCTCTAAACCTTTACGCTGATACCAAAGTCTCCCTTTGTTTCATAAGAGCCTTAGCTCAAGATTTCTCATGTGCTCTGAAAAACGACAGTGTTACATATGTTAGCGCCCTGTGACTACATAATCTAAAACCAAGAGAAGCCGTGCACATGGGTCAATAATGTTCAATAAGTCAATTTGTGGAATAAAATATAAGAATGCAGTTCTTGATGCAGTTAATCAGCACGAACTGATTTGTGTAAATGTTTACCCAAATTTACATTCGTTTTATGATGGTTTTACGATCTATAGATGCAACCAAATCAAATAATAATCGATAAGGGCATGTAATTCAAACATTATTTTTAGTTTTAAAATTCTGCAAACAAATTAGCTATATTTTATAGTTAAAATAGTAAGAACGTTTTAGAAACGTGGAATATGTTATTTGAATATTTAAAGACGTTTCATATGCTTTTCAGAAGTTCACAATACCTTTTTGTATTTTGATGGATTATGGTATTGCATCCTGACGCTTCATAATTACACCTGCATTGTTGTGTTTTTTCTTTCTTTTACGTCATTGACATTCGACCAAAAAGCAATTGCTTACAAAACATCTTCGCAGAATCACTCAGGAGGCAGAAACGATGTACGAGTACTTGAGGTAAGAATGTGTCTGACTAAAATCCTATCAAAACACAAGCAAACAAACCAACAAAACTAAAGACTACATACATTTTGTATGCATTTTGTGCTTACAGTAACAATTGTACATGCACATATGTCTTGGGTGCGTTTGTGCTGCTATGGGTTCTGGTGTGGTTCTACCGGGACAACTTGGAGATCACCAAGGTCTCGGAGAAACACGTTTTTGTGACTGGTTGTGACTCTGGTTTCGGACACCTACTGTGCAAATGCCTGGACAAACGTGGTTTCCGCGTCCTAGCCGGGTGTCTCACGGAAAAGGGCGCAGATGATCTGAAGAGGGCGACAGGACCTTTCCTGAAGACCTGCATCTTGGACGTGACCAGCACGATTAGCATTCAGAAGGCTTTGGAATGGACCAAAAAAGAAGTTGGAGATAAAGGTGTGTTTCAGGTGAGACCTCAACATAAGATTTAGAAACAAGTGCGACATCTTTGTTCCCAACTTTCTAGGACTTTGGGGTCTCGTGAACAATGCTGGACGCTCCCTTCCCATGGGTCCATCAGAGTGGATGAAAATCGAAGACTTCCAAAGCACGCTTAAAGTGAACATGACTGGCATGATCGAGATGACCATGAACTTCTTGCCTCTTGTCAAAAAGGCCCGTGGACGAGTGGTGAATGTGGCGTCAGTGTTGGGAAGAGTGGCAGCTAACGGTGGAGGATATTGCGTCTCAAAGTTCGCAGTGGAGAGCTTCTCTGATTGTCTCAGGTATCACACTTCAATGAAAACATAGTTGTTGATTTATTTTTTGCAGTTTTGACTTTTGAAACCACCTATACCTTCAGTCTTTATAGAAAACCCCTTTTGATGTAATTTCAGGAGAGACATCCAGAATTTTGGGGTCAATGTGTGCATCATCGAACCTGGTTTCTTCAAGACTCAGGTGACCAGCTTGGAGCCCATCGAGAGGGAACTTCATCGCCTCTGGAACCAACTGACCCCTGAAGTGAAGGAGAGTTATGGAGACAAATACTTGGATAAATGTATGTTATTTACACCGACAACAACTTTTCTCCATTCTCTTTCAATAGTCTTAACAATAAACATTTTATAATGCAATAGAAGAACCATTTTTGGTTTCCCAAAGAACCTTTCAATAAACAATTCTTAAAAGAACCATAGTGTGAAGAACATTTAATAATCTAAAGACACTTTTTCCACTATAAGAACCTTTTGTGCATTGAAAAGTTTCCATGGATGTTAAAGGTTCTTCAATGCAATCATAATGACGTACTAATGATATACATTTATTTTTAAGAGTATAGTTCATTTAGACACTCTTTGTCTCTCCAGACATCAAGATCCAGAGGCTGATCATGAACACCATATGCGACTCTGACCTCAGCAAAGTGACCAACTGCATGGAACACGCCCTGCTGGCCGTCCACCCAAGAACACGCTACAGCGCAGGCTGGGATGCCAAGCTCTTGTGGATTCCCTTGTCTTATATGCCTGCTTGTGTTGTAGATATTGCGCTGAAGCTGGTGTTGCCAAAGCCTGCAAAAAGTGTCTAGATTTGGAAGTAATCTTAGGCCACATACGTTTAACTCTTACCTTTCATTTCCCTCTTATGATACACTGTAGACACTCTATTTTGGGGTCTTACTAAGTAGGCTAACTAGAGTTTACAAACACTGTAAATTTAATAGAGTATTTATGATGCAAAGTTATCTGGTAACTGGACACTATCAGTAATTTTGTATATTTATGAACCATTATATAAAGTAGTTATAATGTGCCTTGAAAATGCATCACCAGTTTTGCCTGTTGGTCATCTAATGTAGATGGATTGCTAAAGTGCCACCTACTTTGACTTTTGGCATTATATTTGTATGAAACTGTCAGAGTTACTGTTTTGCAGGGAAATGGATTTAATATAACTGTATAAACACAATTCAATAAATGTTATAAGAACATTTTCTGTGAACCAATCTCTTCCCAGAAAGAAAAAAACTGCTTAAAGGGGTCATATGATGCTATTTTAAAGTTCATTATTTTGTGTATTTGGTGTAACAGAATATGTTGACATGCTTTAATGTTCATAAAACACATTATTTTTCAAATACTGTACATTATTGTAGGTCCTCTGTGCCCCGCCTCTCTCAACGCTTTGTTTTCAACAAAGCCCCCTCTTTGACAAGCGCAGTCTGCTCTGATTGGCCAGCTGACCCAGTGCATTGTGATTGGCCGAACACCACAAGCACACGTCGGAAATGTAACGCCCCTTACCATAATCGCGAGCTTCAGCTTTCAAAGTAAATATCAAGACAGTCAATAATGCCGTTAGTTTTACCATCAGTTCAAGCCTGAAGGGCAACAGAGTCGCGTGACAGACACAGTGATGATGCAGTACACAAGCAAGAAATGCCGCGGTTAAGAAAGCTGACCTGCTAAGATTTCTGACAGGCAGTTCACTCTCCTGTGATGTGACCCTGTTCCCCTCACACACACACACACACACGGCGCGTTACTCTGCGCTGCGCAAAACTCCGCATTTGAACAGTCAGTAGCAAATACTTAAACTAATAACAAAACATACTTACAGTCGCTGATTCAGAAGCG